TGTAAACCAGAGCCTCTTGAGGGTCTGTTTCTGTTTCATGTTCTTCGCTTGTGTATTTGAAAAGCCCTCTCCGTACAAAGACTGCACCTGGTTTTTAGTTAGAGGAAGTCGTCCACCTTCATGGCAACATACACAAAAGAGAATTGTCAGGGTTGCCTTGGGTCTCATGAATCCTGCACAAGCTAAAAAGCTATGGTCCTGATTAGGAATGCTCAGGGTGAAGAATGGATTTTCTTATGAAGTCATGTGGCGGTGGTCCTCATTCTTGCTTTGCTTTTTCCTCTTTTTTTTTTTTTTGGCTCAATGACACTTGTTTCTTTTCTCATAATGTAATTGTCATCACATTTGGTCATCCTTTAGAAAGAGATGAGGTATTTTTTTTATGTAGAATCTTTTGAATATGCTGTAAGCTCCATTTCTGTTTTTGTTTTGTTTTGTTTGATTTTGGGCACGCATGCACACACACCTGGCACGAGTTTTAAGCCACCAGGTCCAGGACTTGAACTGCAGTTGACTACATGGAAGTCCAGTGACATAACCATTATGCTATTTGCTGGTCCTAATTAATGTACATTTTAACATGTTGTTTCATTGGGCATTATTTAGCATCAACTGGTTCTTTTGTTCACTTCTATCTTGGCAATAAATAAATTTCTAAACTCTAAATGTGTCAAGGTTTTTCCCAATTCTTTGACTCCATATACTGTAATTCCCATTGTTAAACAAGAAAATACACGTGTGTATCTGAAGGTGGTGGGGGAACATTTTATCAGAGAAACAAATGTTAAACTATGACTTCAGACTTTGTTCTGTGCCTAAGAACTTAAACTACTCAACAGTTTATGTCAGTGGACATGAAAAGAAGTGGAAACTCCCACAGGTTGAAAGAGCTACTATCCTTTCTGTTTTGCATTGCTTTAGATTTTCTCCTTTTTTTCAAATTACACAATACCAAATCTGCATTTGATTTCCTTTTCCCTTTGAAGAGGCAAGACAGTGAGAGAATAATTCATTGAAGAGCTCACATGCAGGCTATTTGGCTCTCGCCATGCAGCAAGTTCTGAGTTTCAGTTCACACGATGGTGAATGGAGGAAGGTATTCTGGAATCTTTCTGTACGAGAGTCTATCCTCGGACTATATTAGTGAGTGTAAACCAGAGCCTCTTGAGGGTCTGTTTCTGTTTCATGTTCTTCGCTTGTGTATTTGAAAAGCCCTCTCCGTACAAAGACTGCACCTGGTTTTTAGTTAGAGGAAGTCGTCCACCTTCATGGCAACATACACAAAAGAGAATTGTCAGGGTTGCCTTGGGTCTCATGAATCCTGCACAAGCTAAAAAGCTATGGTCCTGATTAGGAATGCTCAGGGTGAAGAATGGATTTTCTTATGAAGTCATGTGGCGGTGGTCCTCATTCTTGCTTTGCTTTTTCCTCTTTTTTTTTTTTTTGGCTCAATGACACTTGTTTCTTTTCTCATAATGTAATTGTCATCACATTTGGTCATCCTTTAGAAAGAGATGAGGTATTTTTTTTATGTAGAATCTTTTGAATATGCTGTAAGCTCCATTTCTGTTTTTGTTTTGTTTTGTTTTGTAATTACAAGAGGGCACAGGTGCTCTTCGGAGAGAGACAGGAAGACAGAGAGAGGGAAGAGGAGATAGCACTCCCCAGGGAGGCATGGTCATGTCATGATCCCTTCTCCTCTCTTTCTCCATTCTGTCAGGATTTGGGCCACACATATGTGTGTACCATCCTTTTTTCTTCCCAAGTCACCAGAACTAGGATTTGAATCCCACTAGGTCATGTGGGATCTAAGTCTGTTAACCAGTAGGCAATAGCACTAGGGGTGGGCCTCCATTTCTGCTGTCCCCGCACTGCTCTAACTTGTTGAAGTCAGCCACTTAGTCACTGAACTATTTTCTCTGAGGCTAGTTTCTTCTTTGATAGCATGTTTATTATTAGGACTATTTTCAGTTGAGGAATGTATTCAATGACTCTAGAAAATTTTTCTAGAATAGAATGAAGGAAGCTAATTCAGGAATTGAGAGGCTATTTGTTTTAAAGACTGATCACTGGTTTAATAGAACACACAGTAAATACCAATATTTATTGCTATAAGAAAAATAACAAATATGTGCATGTTCATGATTATATCTATTTTTAAAATAAAGTAAATCATATCATCATTTATAGAGGTTTCTGACATTTTGGGGGTTTGATGGAGGCCTAGCCTCTTTCAAGGCAACATTGGTTAATATGGGAAGGCGAGAAAGAGGGAGAAGTAACTGAAGGAATGGTAACTGTTGTGCAGACAGACCACAGTGATGACGTTGGTCCACGTGTTTTACATCTGTGGCCCTAGTCATCAAGCTGACTGGCCACGTGGCTACTATCGCCATCTTCTTTTTCCATATGAGGAAACAAAGGCATAGGGAGGAATTCTATGCAGGCCATCAGATTCGGGGCCTTTTGCCAATAAGCTGGTATGCTGGCTCTTCTGTTTATCACCTCCACATATTCTTGGACCTGCAGAGAATGATTACTAATTGTACAGTTATTTTTAGGTGGCTGCTCCTGCCAAAACCATCAGTATAGAAACTTTGAAAATATCTCTTGTTCTTTTTTTTTTTTTTTTTTTTTTTTTAGAGAGTTTTTTTTTTTTAGGGTCTTTGTGTGCTTGCTGGAGAGACAGAGAGAGATAGAGAGACAAAAAGCAAGAAATCCCCCTCTCCCCAGGGGAGATGGCCAAGCCACAATCCCTTCTCTGCTATTCTCCTTTTGGGATTTTGGGCATGCACATACATGCACCCAGTGTGAGTTTTAACCCATTTGCTTTGGGACTTGAACTGCTGTCAAGAACATTGCAATACAGTGATATAACCATTACTCCATCTGCTGGTTCCATCTCTTACTCGTAATACTAAATATAGAGAGGAAATCAGAGCTAAATTCGATAGCTTTGTATGTGATTCTTTTGTATTTAGTTTCAATGAAAAATGTTTGTATTGTGTTAAGGAATAAAAGAATTCTTGAATATTGAATTCTGATTTGTATATTTAAATGGTATTGCATATTAATAACTCATTTCAATTTTAGAAAATAAGATAGTTGATCTTTAACAAGTTACATGCAGATGACTAAATCTAATCTTAATGATGCATTGTAGATAGGTAAAACAAGTAGATATAGGTCTTAAAGATTTAAAAGATAAGGAAAAGTAAGTTTAGGAACCAGCAGGTGGCGTGGTGGTCAAGGTGCTGGATTCTCACATTGTTGACCACAATTTGAGTCCCAGACCCAGTGGGTTGAAAATTACACCAGGTGTATGTGCATGCATGCCCAAAATCCCAAGAGGAGAATGGAGGATAAGGCATTTTGACATGGTCCTGCCCTATGGGAGGGGTGATTTCTCACTTTCCCTCTCTCTGTCTCCTGCAAGCACATGCACCCAGTGGTACAAACCTAAAAGAAAAAAAAAAATACTGTTTGGTAATTCATTTCCACGTTTCTTTCTAAAACTTAAATTATGGTAAAATATACATAACAAAATTTATCATATTAGCCATTTTTAAGAGTACAGTTCAGTGGTTAGTATGTCAATCGTTATGCAAACCAATTGGCAAAAGATTTTCATCTCGTGAAACTGAAACTATACATCATTAAACAGCAACTGCCCATGCCCCTCTGTTTACCATGGGGCAACTGCCATTTTATTTTCTCTTCTTATGGTTTTGACAACGTTACATATTTCATGTGCATGGAATCATAGAGTGCCTTGCAAATGACCTACTTCATAAATATAATGTCTTCAAGTGTCATCCAGGAATGTGCCAGAATTTTCTTCTTTTTGAGAGCTAATATTCCATTGTATGTATATAACAGAGTTTGTTTATCCATTTATCCATCAGTGAAAATTTATGTTGTTTTCTCTTCTTGGCTATTTTGAGTCATGGTGCCTTGAAAATGGGTATAAAAATAACACTGTTAGACTTTGCTGTTGATCATTTAGGACATATATGCAGAAGTGGGGTTGCTGGATCATGTGATAATTCTATTTTGAAGTTTTTCTGGTCATACCATTCTATTTTTCCATTGGGTATTATCTTTTTTATGTTCCCACTAATAGGGATAAAGATTACAATTTCTCCACATCCTTTCCATAACATGCTTTTCTGGGGGGAATAGCCATCTTTTTTTTTTTTTCTTTCTTTCTTTCTTTTTTTGGGGGGGTTTTTGCTCCAGGGCACGTGTGCTCGCCAGTCAGACAGAGAGAGACAGAGAGACAGAAAGTGAGAAATCACCCCCCCAGGGAGGATGGCCACGCCACAATCCCTTCTCCTCTATTCTCCTCTTGGGATTTTGGGCACACACGCCTGGTGTGAGTTTAAGCCACCGGGCCCAGGACTTGAACCGTGATCAACAAAGTGGGAGTCTCCAGCGACATAGTCATTACGCTAACTGCTGGTCCCAGGGAATAGCCATCCTAATGGGTATGAACTGGCATCTCATTATGATTTTATTTCCATTTTCTTAATCCATGTTTATCTTCCCCTTTGGTCATTTATTATAGCCAAAAAAAAGAAAAAAAAAAAGAAAAAAAAAAGTAGTTTTGAGTCCCAAGTGTTTAAAAATAATTTTAGTTTTACTTTTATACAAAAAAAAAAAAAAAAGTAGTTTTGAGTCTTAAATGTTTAAAAATAATTTTAGTTTTACTTTTATAATGTTTTCCTTGTCATTCTCTAAATATTTCACTTTGGGTTGTGCTTTTTGCCCAGACTTCCTCTATTATTTCTTCGTTTGTAGCTCTTCTGCGGTGGACGATAGTGGTGGATCTGGAAAATTCTTCAAGCATCTCCATTTTGAAAAAAAAGTAGTTTTGAGTCTTAAATGTTTAAAAATAATTTTAGTTTTACTTTTATAATGTTTTCCTTGTCATTCTCTAAATATTTCACTTTGGGTTGTGCTTTTTGCCCAGACTTCCTCTATTATTTCTTCGTTTGTAGCTCTTCTGCGGTGGACGATAGTGGTGGATCTGGAAAATTCTTCAAGCATCTCCATTTTGTGCTGGTGTCACTATCTTCAGAACTGTGGTTAGCTCAGTGGTCAACTCAAGGCTTCTGGTACATTATCCTACTGATGGCTGCTCTCTGGTTCCTGAGGCTCTATCTGCATTACCTTGGCCAGTGGCTTTTCCTCCGGGCCATTTCTACCCCTGTTACAAAGTGAGTGGTTTCCTCTGAAAGTCAAAGAAATACATTTTCATCTGGATAGCACAAATGAAGGTACAAAACACTTCTCCCCTCCATTTGCCAGGAGGCCTAAAATGCAGGTATGATTTGAAAAGACAAAAATGTCCTTATCCAGGAGCAAGAACTTCTATTATGGTTATAGTCTTATCTTATGAACCTGTACATACAGATACATAATGGTACATCAATATTTATTTAAAATTTAGCAGATTCAAATATGTTCTAATATCTGAGCAGGATCCAAAGAGGAATTTAGTAACAAGGTTTTATTCTATTTTGATTTTATCAGAGTGACTTAGGCTGAAGGTATTTTAGAAGTAGCATAACTCTGATTTATCACCTATACTCGAAGAAGCAAAGATTGCTTCTTCTGCAAAATGATTGAATTCAAACAATTACCAAACTCAGGCTCAGACAGCTTTCTGAGCCATTATGCTCTGGAAAAAGATGACACTTTAAAGGTTATCTCTCCATAAACATTATTCCATAGACACTATAGATAGACAAACAGATAGATATCAGTACAAGTAAAATTCATTTTCTCGAATGTAGATGGTCCAGATAAAAAATAAAGAAGTGTGTATATTTTCAATTAAGAAGACTGCAAAGATCCTGAAGACTTTATAAAAAAATAATACATATATTGAGTCATTGGAAAAGTCATGACATGCTTTTCCATGTAAAAATGCATTATGACTTTTCTGGAGACCCAATATATAACATACATATATATATGTGTGTGTGTGTGTGTGTGTGTGTGTGTGTGTGTGTGTGTTAGCCTTATGAAATTAAATGACAAATATCTGAATGTTATAGAAATTACAAATTGATACATTTTCAAAGGGGAATTTTTATATGGATATTCTCTGCCTTCCTTTTTTCTTTTCTTTCTTTCTTTCTTTTTTTTAAAGGTTACCAAAGCAGAAATGTTACATGTGTGGGTTAGTTTCTTTCTGCTTTCTGCTTTTTTAAATTCTTCAGTATAGAAGGAAACCCTACCCTTATAAGTTGTTAATAAAATCAGATTAGAAATGATATCTTGACAGTCAAGGTTAGCTAATTAAGCAATGGAAGACCTAAGATATTACAGGTATTTTGTCAGCTATTGTCTTGGTGTGCAGGTTTGAATCATACATGAGCTCTGTGTCACATCTTAGCTGTGAAACATGGCAGTAACATCACCAATATCATGCATGTCTTCCATTATCACACTGTTTCAGGTACTATGCTAAGAAATAGATGATTGACTTTATTTGATATTCACAACAGCATACGAATAAAGCATAAAACTTTCTTTGAAGCAAAGGTTCAGGAATAGATAAAATGAACTCTGTCGAATAGAGAAATGATAATAGAATACACAAGCAGGTTTGACTACGAAACAGATTTATATCAGATGAAATCAGGGAGGGAGAATTTAGAGTGAAGCGAAGTCGCATTTTGCCAGAAAAACAATATGGAAGCCTCAGTCCAGGTTGTTTGAATTACTGGACTCAGATTTGATTTAACCTGTAGGCCCTTAAGTAGTGTCAAGCTGATTCAGAATAACTAAAAAGTGTGATGGTTCTTAGGTGGTTAGTGGTGGTGGCATTTATTTCTTTTGCATTCAGAAGTCTACTTAGAAGAATCTCACGGAAAATTAATCAGCTATGTTAAATATTGAGAAATTGTCAAATTTATATCTGTTTCTCATTTCTGTTAGAGGCTACCCCATTAGAAAGTTCACCAGTATATTTGGTATATTTTGCATTTCAGATAGCCTACTAGAAAGTACTATGGGAACTTCACGGAAGCTCTCAATCTACAGAACGCTCTGCTTAGTGGTTCCAGTTGACACCCTTTGTGTGGCTGTATGTGACATTTACAAGAACAATGAACAGGGTGGGATTTGCCTTTTCCTTGAAAGTGAGATGTTGAGGTGGTCCTGAGGAGAAAAGAGGAAGACTTCTGATACTTAAATATAACTTCTAACAGTTTATGGGACGTGCTCTGTATTTTAGAAAGAAAGAAAGCCCAGCTACTTCTTCGAATTTGCACACTTGGCATTTTGTATAAATCTTGATTTCACATATGTGGTCGCTTTGTTTCCCCACAGATTCCATTTTTCCCCTCACACAGTTGAGCTTTGCTACCCAACTTCTTCACATCACATCAGAGAGGAGCTTCCTGTGGTGGTCGTGGGGCCTTTAATGCTGAACACAGTCGTACTGCTTTTGCTTCTGATCAGATGGGGCTGTCAGCTACTGTTTAACTCCTGCCCTGACGTCTTGTCAAAGCTAATCATTACCATGGGACTATGGACAGTTCTAGACCCACTGGCTGTGTTCTTAGTGGATATTCTCCTGGGGGTAAGTCAAATAAAATAATCAGGATCTGAGTCCTTGACATAGAATTTAGCTTCAGTGCACGAATCAGTGGACATGGGAAGTTTCAATAGTGATGAATATTCAATATCCATCTGAAACGGAAGTTATTATGTTTTTCCTCATAGAAAAATCGTAGCTGTATATTATAGCCAATTTAATTTTAATTTTTAACTATCTTAAGTAAACACTTGAAAAATAAGTAGGAAATCATGCTTATTAGATCCAAGCTAGTTATCACATTTTTAGAATTATTACAAAGAAGCTTTATTTGGTAAGCTTTTGGGGGTAACTTTTTTAATATAAAATATTTTTCATAACAAATTTTGCAAAAAAAGTAATTATATAGTAGTTCCTTTAATTATTTAGCTGCCTTGTGATATAACATACTTAAGGAGAATAAGAGCCTTTTAAACATTTCTAAGTAATACATACATTTTTAAAAATTACCCCATTGGCAATTATTTTGGCCCTGTAATGTTTGTTACAAAGTAACAAACACAGTGCATTTTTACCCTAAAATATAAAGTTTTGGGATCTCACTTACAATACTATAAGTTGGTGGGGCAAGTATTTTTTTTTTTCAACTGAGGGAAAACAGACACACGGAATTAGATGAATTGCGCGAGTCCACTTGTTCACACTGAAACTAGGACTAGAACCCAGATTTCTGAATTCTGAGGTACTAGAGACTGTCATAATAGAAATAACAAAGTCTCTGTTATGACTAAGTCTCTATTTCAGGGACCAGCAAATGGCGTAATGGTATGTCGCTGGACTCCCATGTAGTTGACCGTAGTTCGAGTCCCAGACCCGGTGGCTTAAAATCACGCTGGGCACATGTACGTGTGTGCCCAAGATCCCAAGAAGAGAATGGAGGAGAAGGGATTGTGGTATGACCATTCCCCCTGGCGGGGGGGGATTTCTCGCTTTGTCTCTCTCTGGAATTTTTTTTCATTATTATTATTTTCTCATTCTGATTCAGTGAGTAGGACCTGATGTGCCTCACAGGCTCATAATTGATTCCAACGGGTGGTTCCAAGGATCTCACTGTGGGTAACACGGTGCTACTTATCAACGAAACCTCTCCAGTCCCTCTTTGGTTGCTTGGTAGGCTGAACTTTCACTCCCTGAGAATTCCTGGGCTACTCCCAACCAAACTGGAGTCCTTGCAGCTCCGAGTCCACGAAACTCTTTGAGGTTTCATATGAGAAATCTTACTGCATATTTCTTAGAGGAAAAGACCACTGTCTGAAATGCTTAGAACCTATCAACAAGTACAACTGTTGACGCTAACCATGGAGATCATTTCATATTGTTTAAAAATATGATTCATTACTTTCATGAGAGAGAGACAGAGAGATAGGGAGAGAGATGGTAGGACAGAGTCAGAGACAGGGATCCTCATCAGTTGTTCAAACTACAATCCTTCCCTGGTCTCCACTGGCCTGGATCATGGGCATGTGTGTACTTAGTATGTCCAGGAAGGTTCCGGGATGAAAATTCAGGACCTTTCCATGTTCCACCATCTGGCCTCTCATTTAACATTATCAAAATGATTTCTGATAACAGTGCATATCAAGTCTTCCAGTGGATCTAGTTTCTAGTCTCATTCCTAGGGGTCAGAAATGGAATTTGAAGTAAAGTTCATCAGCATGAAAAGGCAGACTGCTTCTACGTTCCATTCCCATGTGTGCAGCTACCCTTTGAAAAACCTCCAGACTATCAAACACCTTGATGAATTACAGAAGAGGGAGCTTTTTGAGACAGGAGTGGCTGTGTTTTCTACCCAATCGTTAAGTTCTTTTTTGTTCTTCCCCACCCTGCTGATTAGCTTCATGCTGATTCTGAGTGGCTTGAGCTGGAGCCAGTTGGATTCCTTCCATATTCCTACCTCTCTCAGACTCGAGGCTAGCAAGGGAGAGACTGTGCGGTCAAGGTTTGTTGAGCAGGAGATATAGAGAAAGTGCTATGTGCCACTTGGGAGGATCATATCCCACGGCATCTCGTGATTCTTCCTAGAAGCTGGATGTGTATACAGAGCAGGCTGGGTACTAAGACTGCGTCTATGCAACAGCACATGGGAAGTAATGGGGGGATGAGTCGCTGTCTCAGCAG